AAAAAAATGCAACAAGAAATAGTTACAGGTTTGAATTTTAAACTGTTCAATGAGTTTACTTCATTATATCTTATATATGTGTATGTATTTTATTATTTTTAAAAGATGCGAATGTCCAATTGGATATACAGGAAGAGATTGCACACACAAAATTAATTATTGCAGTAGCTCACCTTGCAGAAATGGTGGACAATGTAAAAGTATATCTTTTAATTATACTTGTACATGTCCTCCAACATTTACAGGAAATAACTGTGAAATTGGTAAGCTCATAAAATATATTAAATTAATTTATTTAATAATTTTAAGTTGAAATTAAATTTTCAATGAAAGATTTTTTTTTTTATTAACAAAGAATTGACATCTGATTATGTCATGCATTTTACGAGATCTAGTACAACTGATTATGTGATGATGAAAGGCCCAATTAAAAATATATCAGAGGTAATAAATTAATAAAAAAAATAAATATTAAGAAGCCTTCATATTTTATTATTTTTTAAATTTCTTTTAGTTGACTATTACTGTATGGTTGCAAACTCTGGATACTTTTAATTATGGCACTGTACTTTCATATGCAACGCATGAACAAGATAATGCATTTACAGTAACAGATTATAATGGGTAAGTCTTTTATAGGTTTTTTTTTGTTATTTTAAAATCTCATCTCAAATGTTAAATAATAAATTTTGTATAGATTTGTATTATATATCAATGGACGAGCAATTGTAACTGATGTTAAAATTAATGATGGTTACTGGCATTTTCTTTGCATTACATGGGAAAATACTAATGGATCTTGGAATATTTTTCTTGATGGAATTCGTAAAGATACTGGTACAAATTTAGCAAAAGGTTTAACTATTCCAGGTAGATCTCTCTATTATATTTTTAATTTATTATTTGTTTATTAATTTCAAAAATTAAATTAATGTTATTCTTTTAGCTAATGGATCTTTCATTATTGGACAAGAACAAGATCGAATGGGTGGTGGTTTTTCTGAATCAGAATCATTCGTGGGTAATATTACATTACTAGATATTTGGGATTCAGTTTTTACAAATGATTATATAATGCACTTGTATGGAACATGCGAAAAATACTATGGAACTCTTTTTACATGGTCTCACATATTGGAACACGTTTATGGAAATATTATGGTGATAATATCATTTTTTATTTTCATAGTAAAAATATTCATTTTGATTTATTTATCATTGATTTCTTTTTTTAGATTATAAACAGCCAATTTTGTCAGGGTTGTCCTGTACCAGTTGCACCATTTAAAGGGAACGTAAATACCACAGAAGATTTATTAGAAGCAACTTATTATTGTGATCCAGGATACGTACTTAAGTTTGATGGTAAAGAACAAAAAGTATTAAGAAGAAAATGTCTTAAAAATAGTGAATGGGAAGGTTCTGATACACCTAAATGTTCGAGTAAGATTTATCCAAATTATTTTTAACTGAGATCGTATTATAATTCAAGTTCTGTTTATATTTTTTTTTTTATCATTTCTTTTTAGAAGTAAGATGTGGATTTCCTGGATATTTTCCACGTGGTTATATAAATGGCTGGTCTTACCTTTTTGGAGATGAAATTTATTATTCTTGTATTAATGGTTATGAGCTTCGTGGAAGCGTACGTCGAGTATGCAAATCTAATGGAAAATGGAGTGGATTACCACCCATTTGTATTGGTAAAATTTATATTATTTTAATGATTTAACAAATTTAGAAAATGTTGTACATAACATTATTGTATTAGGAGTAACATGTAAAAGTTTACTGGCACCAGAGCATGGGGACATAGAATATATAATAGAAGAAAATGAGAGAGATGATATCACAATTTTACAGGTATAATATATTCCTCGAAAAATAATGTTTAATATTAGAGTTCATTTTTATTTCATTGATATTTTATATAGGCAGGACAACAGATTGAATTTAAATGTGATCCCGGATTTCGTTTGGTTGGAGAAAAATATTTAACGTGTTTAGAAACTGGTGTATGGAATCATGATAATGCAGTTTGTATTCCCTACAGATGTCCACCACCAGCAAAGTAAATTTTTATATAAATTTTATTATATAATATATTTATTCTTTTGTTATTAATTAAATGTATCTTTTTTTTTATAATATAGAATAGAGCATGGTTATATGAGAATAATTACTAAAGAAAAAGAAGAATCTTTAAGTTTGTCACAATTAAAAGAAAATATAACAGATGATCTTTTTACCAGAAACTATTCTTACGGTGATACTATAAGATATTTTTGTGATTCTGGTTACAAGTTTGAAAATATTAATGATTCTTCTAATACGTTTATTCTTCAATGTTCTAACGATGGTTTGTGGTCCAGTTATTTTCCAAAATGTGTTCTCATAAATTGTTCTTGGCCAAAACCGATAGAAGAAGGAAAGATATTTTTAAAAATAGATGGAAATTTGTCTTTGGAGATTCCAGCAATTCCAACAGAATTATATTCGATGCAACATTTTCATAATCAAGAATTAAAAAAAAATTTTATTCCTAAGACAGAAATTTTTGTTATTTGTAATACAGGATATAAATTAATTGGTGAAAATATTAGAATATGCAGTAACGAAGGAACTTGGATTCCAGATAATCAAAATTGTGAACCACGTAATTGCCCAATTTCAAATCATTTGATTTCCCGATTGTTTAATATCGATGAACTGTATAACGTGCAATATAAAACTGAACAAAAAGTAGAAAATGATAAAAATATAAGCAATTTTTATGGTAACATTAACTTTTATATAGAAGGAGATATTTATGGTAAAAGAATTATTATGACTTGTCAAAATAGTATGACTCATTCGAATGTTTTTACTATCAATGAAAAATTAAATATTACGTGGATTTGCGATGAAACTAGTCGATGGAAACTTGTGAATTTTTTACAACGCGATAATAAATTTATCCAAATACATGATGATTCGACAAATGAAATATGTGAAGAAGCATTGTGCGCTACACTCGTTAATATTAATAATATGAATGATTATAAAAATGTAACTAATATTTTTACATTTGCTTGTCAACAAAATTATGTTCTTGAAGGATCTGAAACATTAACGTGTCATTCGAATGGCACGTGGTCAACTATGCCTATATGTAAACGTAAGTAAAAAATTATAATTAAATAATTGTACAAAGAAAATTAATATTATTCTTTTCAGATATCACTTGTAAAAATCCACAACTACCATTTAATGCAGTATTAAAACTAAATGAAACTGATTATAATATTGGTGATATGATTCGTTATGAATGTATACCGGGATATCGAATATTTGGTCAATCAACTATAAAATGTCTTCCTAATGGAAAATGGTCCAAAATGCGGGGCAAGTGTTCTAGTAAGTTACAAATTAATTCAATAATTACATGTTTTAACTTTAGTATTTACCAAGGACTATAATTTCTTCTTTTATAATATTTCCAGAAATATCATGCGGCAAACCAGTAGTACCACCTGGAGTAGTTATTAAAGGTCCATCCTATTTATTTAAAGAACAAGTTGTTTATATTTGCCCCAATGGTAAAAAGATAGGTACTATTACTTGTAACTCAGATGGAAAATGGAGTGATCCACCACAATGCGTTAATAAATAATTATGGATGATATATTACTAATATATAGAAATGATAATTAAATAAAACATATATAAAAATACGCAAGGAGAAACACGTAAACGGTCGTATATTTTTTTGCTTTTCTTTTTCTTTTTTCAATATTCATTTTTAGCAATGAATCTTTCATAATAATTATAATATCGTAATTATAATTATTAATTATTCTATATAATTATCAAAGTAAACATATATACATATATTTACATACACTATTACACGTGTATATATATATTTATTTGTGTGCTAATTAACATGAATGATAAATGAGCATAAGTTCATATAAAAATATATTGAAAGTAAAAAAACTTTTGCTCATATACATTGATTTAAAACAATGTATATCTTTTTGTTCTTTTTTTTTTTTATCCAATATTAAAAATTAAATGTTTATAAAAATTTGTCAAAAATAATATTTCGTTGTCTATCAAATATAAGTATTTACTATAATTGTGTTATAGTTGTACAATGCAATGAACAATTAGAGATATATAATATATATATTCATATATATATTATTAAAATCACGAAAAATGTTTTCTATAGACATAGAAATGTGTAATTTTGTCTTTTTTTTTTTTTATTGTTATATCTTTGTCAATGCCCTTCACTTGCATGCTTTTTGAAAAATTTAGATAAATTATTAGATCATAGCTTCCCATTTCTTTTTACGAAATTCGAATTCTTTAAATTTCCTTTCTTGGCACATCCTATGTTTCATACCATTTAATTCTAAATATAGGAATGTGTGCATTACATGGAGATGAAATATTGCATCAGACTATTAGAAGGAAGGGCAGTGAAAATATAAATATCATAAAATATCTTGATTTGAAAAACTTACATTCCAAAAAAATTATATCTATAAATATTATATAAATGAAGCACCATCTGATAATCCTTAATTTATATTCATTTAGCCTCGTCAGAATAAAAAATAGTTTTTTATTTCTTTTCTCTGAAAGGAGAAGGGTAAGAGTAAAAACAAAAAACAAAAAAAAAAAAAAAAAAAAAAAGAAAAGAGAACAAACGAAAGTAATTAAATAACTAGCATATTATTCTTGTTTTAAATTTGTTTTTAAATATTCTAACGATGTAACCGCTGAGTTATTTAAAAGCTGATAAAGATTTTCTTTTTAAAACTAATACAACATTCAAGAAAAGTTATCTGATTAGATAATTTCTAATATACTTTTGCAAATGAAACATTTTTTTTTTTTTTAAACAAAATAAAATTATATCGAACAAAAGTACATATATAAATATTAATTGTACACGTATTATAAATACTGCTATCAATTTTCCTGCAAAACAATGGAATAATGCACAATTTCAGTTATGATATCTTAATTATTTATTTATATCTCAGGATTCTCTTCAAAGCTCCGTTTTAGAACTGCTCGAATATTTAGGCTTAAGTTCTTCGATCCGTTTAATAAAATCTGTCTTTTCTATACATCCTTCGCACGATTCATCCCAATCATTTAATATTTTTTTCAAGTCTCTTACTTTTAACTTTTTCAAATCAACTGTTCTAAGATCTATTTGTTTTTCTGTAACCAAAGTACACAATGTTACACGATTACTATTGTTAATATTATCTCTAATATAGGGTAACATTTTATTAAAATAATATATAAATACCAAATCTTAGATCACATATTTGTGCATCCTTTTTCTTTAGTTTTTCACATATTTTATCTGCTGGCATAGACCATGATAAAGGTTTACTAAGTTCTCCCAAAATCCCTGTTGCAGATTCTTCTAAACCACCTAAATAATAGCACTGACATACGAACAAGATTATGTCATTTTTATGACCACGATTTTATATAAAAATGATTTCTATTAAATAGTAATAATACTTACAAATCTGTTTTCTTTAGACTTTGTTGTTTTACAAAATTCTTTGAATTGTGATTCTATTTTTTTGTAATCGCTTTTAACATCACTCGTTAAAGTTTCAGCAAATTTATTTACAGTAACTACGCATACTGCAAAATCAAAATTTTCAAAATAAGTTGGTAAAGAGATAACACATTAATTGTAAATAAAATATAAAAAATATCGTCACTAATATATACATAAATAAATCACCTTCGCAATCTCCTTCTTTTAAAGCTGTAATAAACGATACCATGCTAAAAACCACAGTGATAGCGAACCACATTTTAGTATCCATTTTTATAAATATATTCTGAAAAAAAAAATTAATAAACCGTTTGAGTATGACGTTAACAAAGACTTTTCTATTTTTAATGACATTTTCAAAATTAAATGCCGCTTTAATAGGTTAAGAAAAAACAGCAATGATACACAAAATACATACGATATAAACCAAATCGATTGATGTTTATTAAATAAACAATGGCTTTGGAACTTAATAATCTATTTGATTGAAACTTTTTATTCAAAGAAACACTATTTTAACAGATTCATCGAGCACACAGCGAACAAAACTTCATGCTACTTTCATACACGTTGGGTACTGTCAAAAATCCGGAAATAGACCTGGCGTCTTCTGATTGGTCTTCATTTAAAAATGATTTACGTCTATTTGACAACTAAAGAAAACAATCACGGGATATGTTAAGAATCAAATATCATTAATATTTTATAATTTTAATCATAATTATTAATTAAAAATTAATAGGAAGGTATTTTTCGTGTTTTCAAATTCACAAATCACGATAATACAAATATTCTTTAAATGACCATTCAGAAAGTGTTTACTAATAAACTTCAATCTGATTGGTCCTTCAGATATCGTATATAATTTCTTAACCAAACAATATTATTAATAAGAATTTTAATAATTACGTTGAATAAATCGTAATAAAATAAATATATATTAGATAGCGTAAATAATTTCATATTATATATTTGTATATGTATTTATGGTATATATATAAATATACGCTGCCAACTTGAACATATTTTTGTTTTACTTATCAACTTTTGGTAATACTTTGTTCATATTTTTGGTTAAGTTTTTGGCCGATCGATTATATAGTGTTATATAGATAAAAATATTATTAAAAGTGATAACATTTGAAAATTATTCTATTAATTTTTAAGTTTTTGTGATAGTGTGTTTAATGTGAGATGATAATTCATTTGTAACTTTAGTTGATATATATTTCTATAAAAAGAAACTGTGTGCATACACACCATGGCCGATTCATCTTACGAGAAAGGATTAACCGAACTTTCGAAAATGAAGGTGCGTTAATTAAATCTAAATAAATACTTTATTGCATTTTAATTTGTTCATTGTTAGAAGGAGCATCTATTTTTATATTAAAATTTATTTACTTTTCTATATCATTACGAATAAAAAATGTAACATTACAGTGAAATTAACTGTTACTATTTAGAAGTAAAATACATTCATTACAAATTTGTAATATTAATCAACAAATGTTTTTATCTTATTAGATTGCTAATTTGAAGGTAGAATTAAAACAAAGAGGTCTTCCTACAACAGGAAACAAAAATCAATTAGTTGAAAGACTTCAGCTAGCGATACATGGTGGTACGTAATGCAACACAACGTATACAATTTCTAAGCATAATAAGTATAAATATATTTATATATGTATGTTTATTTTATAGATAATGCGTTATCTTTGGATGAAACAACGGAGGAAATATTAGATGAAGATGCTGTTCTTGGTGTAATTGATAATACTATTCTACATAATAATATTTTAATACCCTTTTAATAGCCTATTTTAGTAGCCTTATGCTATCACAAAATATTTTTCAAATGATACATGAAACTTTCATTGCATTGTACAACTTTTTAGGATGAAGAAATAGAAGAATTATCAAGTAAACCAGATTCGCAAGAGATCAGCGAGAAGAGAAAATTATCTGTAGAAAGTAACGTGGGTAATGCCAAAAAAATAGTTTTAAATCGCAAGCCTGTAATCGAAGACGTTAAATTGGATGAAGTAGAGAAACATGAGACCGACACTAAATCTTCTGAGAATGCACTTCCTGAGAAAAAAATTATTAAATTATCGGAGCTTGGTACCAAGGAGGTAATTATTTATAAAATATATCTAACAGTTAATTTTGTTAACACATTTGAATTAATAATATTTTATTATGTATATATAACAGAGATTAGAAATGAGAGCAAAGAAATTTGGATTACCATTATCGGAAGCTGCAAAGAAGGAAGCTAGATCTGCAAGATTTAGTGTTAATAATCAAAATAACAAATCAGCTGCATCAGTAAAGACTCCCGTCGTAAGTTATCTTTTTTAAATCAAATATTTTATTATTAATTTATAATTTCGTTAATTATTTATTATTATTTTATGCATGTATATTTGTGTATGCAGCATACGACTTATGAGGTTTTGAAAAAACGTGCAGAAAGATTTGGAATGTCAGTTTCTAGTCTCATGGATAAGGTAATGATTGAGAATTATTTCTAATATTAATATCAAATAATATTTTAACGTATTTCTTTGTTAGGCTGAATTGGAAGCGCGAATAGAGAAGAGAAAAGCTAGATTTGGAGAGGTGAAACCAACTGAGAAAGTATTCCCTAATAAAGTCAAAATTGTTAAATGATATTCGTTGATGTATACGAAGACAGTAATTTAGATTATAACATATCTTGTTTTTTTTTTTTTTTTGCAATAAAATAATAAGATACTATAAAGGTGACGTATATCCATTTAATAACATTTTTTAAAAACAAAAAATTGAACAAGAAAGAAGACGTTTCAAAGATAACAGTATTATAATATGGATAAATGAATCTTACATACAATGATATACCTTGTAGTTTATTTGTAAAAGTTCTTTAAAAACTAAAAAATAATAATAAGCATATTGCAGTTTTCATTCTTTATCAATTAAAAAATAATATATTATCATTATTATTTTAATATGAAAAGAATTGCTATGTAAATAAAAAAAAACGCACATTTTTGAAGCTAAATACTCTCTCTTTTTACTAATAACTTAAAATAATATTAAACTAAGCTTTGAAATTTAATAAAGTATATATTATCATAAAAAGAAAATAATTAATAAATAATATTAGACAAAAGTGAAAAAAAAACGCAAATTATTAGACTATATATTATTAGTTGTAAGCAATATTACCTCCGTTGAAACATAAATTATGTTGTGTATTACTAAAGAACAAATTAATGTGAATGTAATGATTAAATATTAATTAATTACATAATAGTTATACGTATATATATATATATTATATATTGTATAAATAAATGTAAAATAATCTTAAATAATAATTATTTCAAAAATATCCTTCATTGAATGAGAAAGCTACAATGTTTATTCGTCGAAATACAAACGACAATTATTATCACATTGTTAACATACACATTTCGATTTGAAGTTTAAATTAAACGCATATCGAAATAAAACCCTATGATTATTTTATATTAAAACTAAATTATTAACTAAATGGTATTTTAAACAAATGTAGTAGTATTATTCCATAAATAAAATGATTATATCAAATATAAAATTTATTAATTAATTACTTCTTGATTCGCTTAGTGAAACGTAGAATACCTATTGTACATATATGTAGCGGGAAATAATGAGTATTTCAAATTATTTAATATTGTTTGAATAATATTTAAATTATATACATTATCATTCGGAAGTATACAATGAGAAAAGATATACTAGTTTATATTTTCTCGGATATTATTGACCTATATAAATTTCGAGGAGTATTATAGTCCTATTTAACCTACATAATTTCTAAGAAAAACATATGTTCTTAACACCATACTTGGTAGAATGTAAACATTCGCTTTCGTGTACGAAAAAAATAGTTCGAGTTTTTAACAGATGGCGTTCAAGACAATTGATGTTGTGTGATGTTAACAACGATTTGAGTAGAGGAGTACTGATTTATTTTATTATTAATTACAATGGAGGATGATCAAAAAAATAAAGCAATAAGTGGTATTCCTTTGTTAAAAACTAAAGCTGGTCCTAGAGACAAAGATTTATGGGTACAAAGATTAAAAGAAGAATATCAAGTGCTAATTACGGTAACGTCATATTTTACTTTGAAAAAATCATTGTTTCCATATGTTGAGTAATATTTAATAATATTTTTAATGATTTTTAAGTTACAATTTAATATGTTATTAAAATAATCTATTTTTTTTTCTTTCTTTACAGTATGTCAAAAATAACAAGGAATCAAACAATGATTGGTTTCGTTTAGAATCAAATAAAGAAGGTACGAGATGGTTTGGAAAATGTTGGTTCATACAAGATTATTTAAAGTATGAATTTGAAGTGGAATTTGATGTTAGTATTTTATTTTTTATGTATATATATATATTTAATTATTTTTTCTTATATTTGAGGTTAAAAAATGGAAGCATAATAATAGCGTTTAATTAATAGAAAATATTTCATTACATTATTAGATACCTGTAACATACCCTTTAACGGCACCTGAAATTACATTGCCTGAGTTGGATGGTAAGACAGCGAAGATGTACAGAGGTGGAAAAATTTGTTTGACAGATCACTTTAAACCATTATGGGCACGTAATGTACCAAAATTCGGTATTGCTCATGCTATGGCTCTTGGTGTACGTATATCAAATATTAATTTATAGTTTTTATATTACAATATTTTACACTTATTCTATAAGTTATTTTTACTTTTAAATTTTTATAGCTGGCACCATGGCTCGCTATAGAAATTCCTGAACTTATTAGAAGAAAACTAGTACATTATATAAAACCAGAGAGACCGTTAATAACACTTAAAACACCAGAAGATTGAAAGATAAAATAAATTCTTGTAATATATTTTAAATGATTTTCTGATTAAACTATTACATATATTTTTCAATATTTAAACAGTTTTGTATACATTATCAGTTTAAATAAATACTATCATATATATTTTAATATACATTTTTATTTATACAAATTTATTTATCTTCATCTACTTTTATCTTTGTATTATTCCTAATTATTTCATCAAGTTTGTGTAGATCTTTAAGAGATACCTGACCGGTACCTCGTTCAAGAGGTTTAGGTTGTGATGGATGTGGTTTCCACCCTAATAAATAAATAATTTGAAATGTACTAGGTATATAAGGAGTTCCATCGTCTCTTATTTTTCCATATAACTCATTGTATATTGCAGCAGCTGCCATTAAAGTGTCACGATTTAAATGAAGTTTGCGATTTTTTGAAGCATTGTTTTCCGCCATACCTGCATCAATATAACCAATAACAAAAGTACTAATTTTGAAATATTAATTTGTTTAATGAATGAACCTTTTAAATCCCACATTAGTTCAAACATGGAAGGATATCCTATTACTATTTCATCAGTGTCAATAGTCAGCATAGTAAAATTAGCTCTCATTAATAAAGATCCGATATCTCTGATCTCTGTGAAAGGAGATACATGTGGAGAAATTCCTCCTTCTCTTTCTAATTCTGCCAATTGTAAAGAACCTCTAGCAATGCAATATCAGAATTTGAGAAAAAAGAAAAACGAGCAAAATATATATTTTATTGTACAAATAGATCAATCGATTAACCTTAATTCATATAATGTTTCTCCACCAAATATTGCAGCCATGAACACTCCGTCCTGTTTTAAACAATTATTAATACTTTTAAAGCATCCAGGCAAGTCATTTACCCAATGAAGACTAAGACAACTTATAACCATGTCTAAACTGTCCGGTTCATATATTAATTCTTCTTCATCAATGATTTTTCTTTCAACTTTAATTCCTTCATTAGTTTTAGCTTGGTGCAATGCAGTTTGACACATGTCAGTTAGAATTAATTCTTCTACGGATTCTTTAAAAATATTTTTAGATACATGACCACGTCCACAACCAAAATCTAAGGCTTTCTTAAAAGTTCTTTTTATATCAAATATTCTGTCTGCTAATCTGTATCCTACTTCATCTTTAAGGTAATCATATACATTAGCATCAGGAGAATTGGCAGCGCGTTCTCTTTGTAACAATTTAGCATTTCTATCAAAAATGTCCATGGTACTACCTGGTGGTAATGCAAATGTTGGAGTAAAAGTAGTTATATTACATGTACTATTGTAATTATTTAAATGGTTATATTGTAATTTAACACATAGATCACAACAGCCAAGTGTCATTTGCACTAAATGTTTTTGTTTTTTAAATAACACTGTTGAGATCATTGTTTTAATACGTAATTAATACGATGAAGAATGTTAACATAAAACAAATTTGTTTTTAAAAAATTATAATTATTACTTGTTAGAAGTTTAATATAATATACTATAATCTAAAATAATAATGTAAACTAATTTATTATAAATATGAAAAGATTTCTATCGGTACACATTAAACAGTTCTTAAATCAACAAATTCAGAAGTACATAAAGGCTCACAAGTCCACTTTTTTCCTATCAAGATATATTTTAGTTACTACCGTGACTACCAGTGGGCGATTGTAGGTACTTAACGAAATTACAATACAATACTATCAAACAATATAGTATTCTCTTTGATAGTATATAATAATATATATAGTACAGTTATATTTTATAATAGAAATTTAAATAATTATATTTCATTTTTAATGTATAAACATGAGTAATGTGTAAACCGTGTAAGTGAGATAAAATAGTCTGATATATGAATTGTCCAATCCGCAGATGCACTTTTTAAATTGAATTCTCTATTTATTTTTATCAAATCTCTATTTACCGTTGCAATAAAATTAAATTTAAACAGGTGATTTTAAATTAAAAAAAAAAAAAATTAAAAAAAAAATAAAGTAAAAGTACTAATATTAAATTAGCATAAAAAATAATATCTATTAATTATTATAGAATACTTTTAAATAGAAACTTATATATAAAAGAAAAAGTGCAAATTTAATAAAATACTATAACAGTGAAAATTCTTAAAGATAAAAAAAAAAAGAGAGATTATTTAAATATTCAAAAAAAGACAATTGGGCTTCCAAATAAAATAATAAGGGAATTTAAATTTGTTGATTCGAACTAATTAAACACATATGCATCTTTATTGACGATATAGACACAAATTTGGTGTCCAAAAAAGATGGAATGGTCCATCATCTTCAATTACAAAACAAATAAATGACAGGCAAAAAAAAAAATAAAATATAATTAAAAATACTTACGAGAATTTCAGAAATAACCTCAGGACATTTCGGAAAAAACCTACGAACTTTTCGATTTATTTTTTTATATAGAATCACCCCCTTTTCGCTTGTACCACCACTTACAGATCACCCAGTATAAAATAATCTCGTTACTTTAAAAATATTTGATAAAAGAAATAATAAAACAATTATTATATAGAATAAAATTAAAAAAAAAAAATATCATGTGGGCAGATCACACGTGTTAGAAGTGAAACCTTCGAAAAACTAAGTTTCGAGAGAATGAGACGACTGCAGAATATCAGGAGTAGGATAATTGTTGGGTTTATATGTTATAATATTATTATTATATTATTGTTATAAATTCAAAAATTATTATACGTTTTATTGAAAACATATATAAATAGATAAAATAATACACAGCAAGCAAGTTCTCAATTCAAAGAAATGAGACGAGTTGCTTCTGGTAACTAAAAAATGCATGGTAACTAAACACCTCTGTTAGAGTAGTAAACACCTCTATAACAAGGTTTTTTCCGAAAAGTAATGAGGTTTTTTCCGAAAAGTAGTGAGGTCTAGTAGAAGAAAAACTTTCCGATAAGTCCGTAGGGTCTTTCCGATAAGTCCGTAGGGTCTTTAATAAATAAAATAACTACAACGAAAACATGTATAATAAAGAGATGGATATAAATGATATGAACTGAGTGAATTGATTATAATTTAATTTGAATTTGTTTTTTCGTTGGTTGAAATTAGGTTGGAATTTGATAGAGGAATTGAAAATAAAAAGCTATAGTTGAGCACACTGGAATAGCGCGAATAAACGATCGAGAGGATAAGTTAGAGGTTCGAATCCAGCGTCGTTATCCCCACCGTTTATTCCGACCCTCTCGTTTTGCAGTCAACGACTCCACGGATGGTGCTGCACTTGCGTGCACTCTCGTGCATCGAGGACTACGTACTACGGTGGTTGTGCATACACAACAGACGCAATAGAAAGGTGCAAGCTATTTCTCAGAGTCCGTAGAGACTGAGGTTGAGAGGGGGCCAGTTGTTGTTGTCGACGATCTATCGATAAGTCGAATTTAGAAGTGATATTATGTAAGAAACGTTCGAGAATTTACAGAACGTTCTACCACTTGGTGTTTTAACTTCGAATACACATTTTATTTGAAGAACATTCCACGTAAAACGATTTACATTCTCTTTGATTATAATGAACTAAGTCGTAAATCGTTATTCTGTAATTAGCATGCCGTTTGCGTGTATTATCTGGATGGCTTCCAAATTTAGGATTCCACGAATGTTTCCACGTATCGTAGAATTAACTTACACGATTTATTTTCATTACAGATCCCTCGATACTCTTGTGGATACTTACGAGTTATTGGTAATTTAACAAGATCATATAACTTGCTACGAGAATCGCAAGTCTAATAATAATAATAATAGGAAGAAGAAGAAGAAGAAAAAATAAATAATAAGACTGGCTAGGGCCCACTAAAGACCCAACTATCTATCGTATACTTAGCAAGATCGTTTTCTTTCAACACTCGTCTAGATTCTTTTATATCCTGCCCTCCTTCATCCGGTTGATCTCCATTTCAGGAAGAAGAAGAAGCCTTACAAGTACCCAACTTACTTACCACCTTTCTTGAAAGGTATGAGAGAGAAATGGTGGTACTCTTTGAAGAAGAAAGAGAAAAAGAAAATAAAAAAAAAAAAAAGAAAAATAATAATAATATAAAGGAGTGATTATAGAAACGAATTTCAATCTCCTTTTTACCTTCGACTTACATATATACATACATCCATATACATATATACATACTTTTCTCTCGTCATCCTGTTTCCCTCTTTCCTCTCTCATTACCTTTTGTCTCCTTGTCGGTTTTCTTCCTACGTAGTAGTAAACCCCCCACCCCAATGTATCCCACGGATCCTTCTCTGTCCCTGGCACTTCCTGTGTTCCGCCACGTTCACCTGTGCCCGCCAGCAGCACACCGCTACCATCACACCACCTTACCACCACCTGCCTTCGTAAAACCACCTAGGCGCGAGACACCAGGGGAACCTGGCTGGCTATGCCATGTCCTAGGGAGAGTAGAGGACTTTAGTTTCAGACTTGGTATATCAGTTCTCGTATCGCCTACTAACGAGCGTGCGTGTGTATGTGAATGTGTCCCTTGTGCCAAAGCCATAAGTTCCTTTACCTCTCTCTTCTCTGGAAACTTTAACGCAGTCAATGTTAAGCTACCGTTGACTTCGTACTTCATCCTGAGTTTTGTTCCCTTTTATAATTCGTTTTATACTTCTCAAAACAATCATTCTTTTAGTTATATATATCTTATCTATAATTTTACTAAATATATACCTCGTGGACACGTGCAATCGTTGGACTCTCGTCGAGCGGGCTTTTATTATTGATCAAATCCACTTGTTGCATCTCTCAACAACCCGTTACGAAAACTTTTATTACCCTATGTACTTTGTGTTACTTCCCTGACGTACGATAATAATAAGAGTGTGTGGATTTTCAACGATTACCACTCGACGCGTGGTAAGTTTATTTGTAATCGTAGCGTATATATCCTAACAAATCATGCTACGTTGTTAAGAAATATTCCATTTAATGGATTATTATTATTATTACTATTATTATTACTATATTTTAGTAATAATAAATGTATATATAATTTAATAACAATTAATTACATTATTTTATATATAAATATATATTATTATTGCTATATTTTATTATTACTATTATATCATTGTTTTTATAGGAATTTGGGAAAAACGTTGGATTTAATTATCGTATGAGATATTTATCTCATACAACTTTCTTTTTTTCAAAAATATTTTCTCTCAACGAACATCATCGCAGTCGCATTAGGATGACATTCGATTACCTTGTTCGGTAAGTCAATCTTTTTATGTATATTCATTTTATTTATATCCTTTGACGATTAATCTGATCATTGTCGTAAACGAATTGATTTATCTATTTATAAATATTATTATAAAAATTATTATAAATATTATTTCAAGGATCAAAAGAGATAAAATTGATCTTAGAAATATCTTTGAGTAGAGTCAGACAATTTTGATTTGAAATACAAATTCGTGTGCATTGTATATTCGTGTCAGGTAGAAAAAGCTATAGCGTATCAATGGACAGGTTGTAAGTGTGTACGTGTAAGAACGGATCAGTCTTCACGTGCACGTGTCTTCAAGTTTCCTTCCTTTGGATTTGGGATACTGATATTGGATACTAATCAATACGAATGTATTTCGTTAGTATGTATAAAATGAAATAAAAGAAAATTTATGGAATAAATTCTCAAGTAATCTAAGAAGAAGAAGAGAGAGAGAGAGAGATAGAGAAAGAAGTTCAATTCTAACATAAAATAAACTGTTATAAATAAGTTCTTTGTACTCATATTTCTGATATGATTTGAAACATCTGTACAAGTTTATAAATAACACTAAAATAACTTGCACTTGTGACTTTAACATTTCTATATGATAACCTTAAAGATCATTGTGAAATAATTCTTTGATAATATTGTACACAATGTCTTTCGTTTCATTGCAAGTATAGCAAACATAATGAAAAAAAA